TTTCTTCATATTTATCCATTCTTCATTTGCGACATGCAATTCGTTTGTATGTAGCTAGTCTGTCCATATTATCAATCCATGTGCTCAATGGAATCTTTTTGCAGCTCTTCCAGTTCATCAAAGCAAGTTTTTTTGCTTCTAATAGGGCATGGTACATCCATTTTTGTGTGACCCCTTTTAATCTCCCACGTTTCTGGAATATAATTTAGAATTAAATTCAATTCCCCTAAATAACAAGGGGGAGTCTTGACTTTTTCAGGGGTTACTGGTGCCCCTTGGAACCAGTAGGGCAGCAGGCCAGGAGCCGAACAGAAGGTGGCGCCAGAACCAACTAAGTCTGTTGCTTGTCCCTCCTCCCCATTGAGTTTGACAAGGGCAATACTGAGACTAGCAGGTAGGCAGGTGGAGGCTGGTGGGGCAGGGCCCCATTTGCCCCAGGGAAGCAGACTCCATGGACATCTTTTGCAAAGGAGAAGAAATGGGGGATAGGGTTTTCGTCGGTGCTTGGAGGCCCTGGCCCTCTGGCACTGATAGTTTTAGACAATCAGTGAGACAGCTGGATTCTAAATGGAGTAGGGTTATTCTTATTATTAGGCTACTGTAGAGAAGAGAGGATTAAATACCACTGGTTCTTGTTTCCAACATTTGCTTCAAATATACATTTAAAGAAGATTGGAAAATGTTTATTGAAAATTGGGAAATAACTGTGTACAGCTGAAAATGCTGGCAGCATTAAAATAAATTCAACAGTGTAAGTAAGTTTCGGTGGATGCAATAATGGAATACTGAATGGTATAGTTTTTGTAAAAGATGCAGGGGTTTATGATACGTAAAATGAACCATGGAAAGAGAAGAAGGGAAGTCAGAGATATTTTAAGGATGTAAAATGAGTATTTAAAACGGTAAAACAGAAAATTTAATAAAAATTATAATAATAAGAAGAATAAATTGGCTGGCTTTAAATCTAAAGAGGAAGCTGGGCTTTGCAATCTTGCAACAGTGAGGATGTGAGTCGAAAGACATAACTATGTGCTATGAGGGATCATTTGTTGTCTTCCTCTCTTTGGGGTCTGTTAACAGATCCATTTTGCAGGGGTATAAAGGTAAAGGTTAAGAGACCCCTGACCGTTAGGTCCAGTTGGTTGTGGCGCTCATCTTGCTTTACTGGCCAAGGGAGCCGGCGTACAGCTTCCGGGTCATGTGGCCAGCATGACTCAGCCGCTTCTGGTGAACCAGAGCAGCGCACGGAAACGCCGTTTACCTTCCCGCCGGAGTGGTACCTATTTATCTACTTGCACTTTGACGTGCTTTCGAACTGCTAGGTTGGCAGGAGCAGGGACCGAGCAACGGGAGCTCACCCCATCGTGGGGATTCGAACCGCGACCTTCTGATGTTCTGTGGTTTAGACCACAGCGCCACCCGCATCCCTAGGGGCATAAATATTATTAATATTATTTGACATCCAGCAGGGCAAAGGAGATGGAACCACTGCGGAAGAAACGTTTTACAACAATGCTCCTTGCAGCTCATTTTTTTCTAGCATTCATTAATGATGCTGATGGGGGGGTCCCTCCTTCTCCTCTCCCCACCCAGGCAGCATCAGGTGGCCAAAATCCCCTTACATTTCCCACAATGCACCTGGCAGAGCATCACTCTGAGGCATTCTGGGAAACTGAAAAGGGGGCTAGACACAGCCGCCCAGGGCTGCTGAAGAGTGCAACCACCACATCTAGGGGAGACCACCTGAAACCCACTGACAGGGAGGGGCGGCTAGCAGAGGACCCTCAGACCTGGAGCCAGACCTGGGCTGAGGGCAGACCCATAACACCGCCCTCTCCATTAAACAGCATAAAGGTAAAGGGACCCCTGACCATTAGGTCCAGTCATGACCGACTCTGGGGTTGCGGCGCTCATCTCGCTCTATAGGCTGAGGGAGCCGGCGTACAGCTTCCGGGTCATGTGGCCAGCATGACTAAGCCACTTCTGGTGGTGAACCAGAGCAGCGCATGGAAACGCCGTTTACCTTCCCACCGGAGTGGTACCTATTTATCTACTTGCACTTTGATGTGCTTTCGAACTGCTAGGCTGGCAGGAGCAGGGACTGAGCAACGGGAGCTCACCACGTCGCAGGGATTCGAACCACTGACCTTCTGATCGGCAAGTCCTAGGCTCTGTGGTTTAACCCACAGCGCCACCTGCATCCCTATTAAACTGCATACTTCTTGCTTATCTGTCTTATATGCAGTATTATCCGCCATTGCCTCTGCAAAGGAGCGAAATCCATTGGCTGGCACATCCGCACAGAAGACGGCCAACTTTATTCCCGATTGCATCTGTTTTGTACGAAACTGTTTCGCCGGTTGTATCTGTTGCTACAATATTTCTTATGTAAAAGGCAGATGATATTAACCTCCTGTTAATATCCCATTGAGTTCAATGGGACTTACTGTCAGGTAGACCTCCATGTATAGGGGTACCACCCAAATGCATAGATCTCTGTGCAACAATGTCTGGAGGTGAGGTAGCTATTGGCTGTGTTTAAATTGTGGGGCTGATTCACCAACCAAACCGGAAAAGCTTATGCAAAATAATAAATATGAATAATGGGGGGGGGGGTGTCCTCAGTTTGAATTAACTGATACAGATCATAGAATCCGGGGGGGGGGAATATTAACTGTTCACTGCACACAGCTCTGGGATGATTCACTTTGATCTCAGCTGCTTTTCATCCATTTGGGGAATGTGTGTAGTGCAGGCATAGGCAAACTCTGCCCTCCAGATGTTTTGGGACTACAATTCCCACCATCCCTGACTACTGGTCCTGTTAGCTAGGGATCATGGGAGTTGTAGTCCAGAAAACATCTGGAGGGCCGAGTTTGCCTATGCCTGGCCTAGTGGGCAGAGTTTGGCCCTGGCAAGGTCACACCAATTCTAACCATAGCTGTCAACTTACAGATTTGAAAATAAGGGATCAGCAGCCTCACCTGTCCTGGGGACAGTCTACGGGATATCTAACAATCTGGGATAGCAGCGGGAAATGGCGCAAGAATAAGGGAATTTCCCACAAAAAAAGGGAAGGTTGACAGCTATGATTCTAACAGATAAGTTATTTAATGTTGGGGAAACCTTTCTCCCTGCCTCAGTTTCCCCTCTGTAAAATGCAAACAGCTGCCTATTCCTTCCTCAGAGGTTTTCAGGCAGAGGTTGCAAGGCCATCTGTCATGGATGCTTTAGCTGAGTTCCCTGGGGTCTACAAAGTCTACGTTTCTGCAATTCTATTACTATTCTGTAGGGGATATGGGAAGAGGAAGAATGATGTACTTCGACAGGCGAATATGCCAATAGGATTAGAGGGGGAGGAGCCTCACTCTGAAAACAATTTCTGCCTTGCAAGAACCCACCAATTTAGTAAAATAGTATGGGCAATTTAAAAAAAAATAATTAAAAAGTGTGGGCGAGATCCGAGACTGTTGGTGGTGCAAAACTGCCCTCCTGCCTCCGTTTTTCCTAACATGAAACGGGTGAATGTACCTTAAGCCCCCTCCCCGATTTCGCTCTCCCCCTACCCATCTATATCCAGCCCCCTATTTGGGGGGAGCGACCCTCCCCCCAAAAAGTGTTCAGGGGCGTTTGGATTCCTGCGAATCCTAGGCAAACCCCACCCCCCACGCGACCTGGACACACGCAGAGATACTCACGCCGGTGCTGATCTTCTGCGGCCCGCGGTGGTCCATGGTGGCCCCCGACCCGCAGCGCTGCAGCTTCTTCCGCGGGAACCGACCGAGAACGAAAGTGACAGGGGACGCTGCCGCCTGCGGAGCCGCTCGCGGCCGCCAGAGGGCGCCCCTCCTCGCGTTAAACTTTAACCTGCGAGGCAGTCGCCGTCCGGCTCAATGGGGCGCGGTGGGGCGGTGGCCAAGGCCGCCTTTGCTGCCCCTGGATGGGGCGCTGGGTCTTCAGGCATCCCAAGCCGCTTCCCCAGCGCTCAGGTTACTGGCAGCCAGCTCTCCGGAGCGTGCTGGACACCTGATCCTCCGGGGATCCGCTCCAGAACCTGTTGCCAATGCCGAGGCTCACATTTCTAAATGAATGAATGAATGAACGCGCGTTAACCCTCCGGCATGTAGAAGAATCGCGATGGCGAGAGTGGTCCAGAGCATGTGCAGAGTACAAGGCCTTCCTCGCACAGATCGAGGCTACGGGGCGGGGCAAGTGGGGGGATTCGCACGGGCAAGGGACGCCCTGCACGCTGATGGTGAGAGAAGGCGAGAGAGAGCGTTGAGTATTGGGGTTGGACTACAGGATCTCTGGGGTGCCCTACCAGCTCCACGATTCCCCGGTGCTCAGTCGACGTCTCTGCTGCATCCGTGGCGGCGGCGGCGGCGCCCGTGTGCCCTGGCGGATGTGCAAACGCACCTCCCTGATATTCTGTGCAAGAAGCACGTGTGGACGGGCGGACACGCGTGTTTCTTTTTTCAAAATGGCAATAAATCGAAAAGTGGAATGTAAATGCACTAGCCAGATGCAGAGCGTGTGTTTTCACCCCTAGGAAACTCCCTCCTACTTTTTCCTGCTGCCTGACAAAATCCAACTGGTGAAGCTTGCCCGTTGCATCTCCGCGCATCTAGTAGGAAAAGCTTCACCGGTTGAATCGCCGCCTGCCCTGCAGACATCATTTATCCTGCCAGAGACACAAAGCCATCTGCAACTCCCTTCCCCCTCCAGTCCTTTCTAACGGGCCGTTTCCTTCTCGTCCTCTAGCCCTTCCCACCTCTGAGATATTTCTGAACGACCAAACTACTTTCGTTTTCCACTTCCCAGAAACGGCCGCGCTTCCCCGAAGATCCGAGCTGGTCGGAGGGGCTTTCCAGAGAAGAGAGGCGCGGCTGACGGAAGGCTGCAAACCTCTCTCTCTCCCCTTTTGACTCCAGTTCCACTTTTAGCTCCCGGGATCTACACAACACACCCGAAGCTGTTCCTTTTAAAAAAACCTCTTTTTTTATTCCCTCGCAAAGAGGCGCGAGAGGCGTAGGGCCGCCAGAGGGCGCGCCGTCGCCCTTCCTTTTAACCTCTTTTAGCGACGCCGATTTGCAGCAGAAAGAAACTTTCCGGCTGGATCAGCTCCGTCCTCCGTTGGAAACGGAGAACTGGGTGCGCGGCTGCAGATTTGCTGCGCGTTGCGGCGGCGGCGGCGGCTGCTTCTTCCTTGGGCGCCGTCGTGATGGTTTGCTGCTTTCCCCCCAGATGAGATCTTTGGCCTGATCCGGATTCTTGATTGATTTCTTTTTCAGTGGGGCTTCCCAGAACTGCACTTTGCCGGCCTCTCCTCCGAAGGCAGCTGCTCCTCTCTGTCTCTCTCTAGGATCCTGCCAGCTGCAGAGAAGATGAAGCCCTCCTGGGTGCCCTGGCTCTGGATCCCCCCAGTGGCGCTCCTGGACTTCTTCACCCTCCGCCTGGCCTGGCATCTGCTGAGGCTTCCCCAGTGGAGCCCCCTGGTGGCGTCCTGGGCCGCTGCCCTGGCGCGGTGCCTGCTGCTGACCCTCTCGGCTTGTGCCGCCACCTGCTGTGGGGGTCCCGGGGTCCAAGACAGCCTCTTGCCTGCAGCGCTCCTCCTCAGCTTCCTGGTCCCCTGCTACACAACCCTGCAACACCTGTTTCTGTCTGAAGGGGTCGCCCTAGAGCTAGCGCACGACTGGGCCCGGGCAGATGTGTTTGCCCTCAGCTATGTTGTTGTGGGGGCATCGGCCCTGTTGTGGCACCACCTCGCCCCCCACAGGAAGGGGGAGGTGGAGACGAAATCTTCTGCGTCCTTTTGGCGCCTTGTCGCCACCATGAGGCCAAATGTGCTTAGGTTCGTAGCCATCGCTGTGCTGCTGGTGGTCTCGTCCTTAGGTAAGTGAGTGGTTGGGGGTGGTTGGGGGTCTCAAATCTATCCCCTAGGGGATATTCATTCTAGCCCCCTTCCCAGCTCTCCCTCCGGTGCAGAGTTTTACTTGTAATAATAATAATAATAATAATAATAATAATAATAATAATATTTATACCTCGCCCATCTGGACAGGTCTCCCCAGCCACTCTGGGCATCTCCCAACAGAATATTATTAATAATAAAAAAGCGATGAAACTTCAAACATTAGAAACTTCACTAAACAGGGCTGCCTTCAGATGTTTTCTAAAAGTAAGAATTACCCCTCTGGGTCCGTCTCTCTCTGCATCTTGAGGGTGTCTGTGCAGCGAGACGAGTGGTTTGCTTGCGGGAAGCCACCCAGAAACCTGACATCCTCTTTGTATTCATCCAGCCTTTTTCTTTGGGAAAGTTATGTATGCTCCTGATCCTCCCAGCATCTTGTAGCAATGAGTCCCACAGGTTAATTGTTGTCTAGATCATGTGTGGAGGAATGCTGGCAGGTGTTCGTCTGACCTGCTGGCGGCTGGTTTCAATTTACAGTGGTGCCCCGCAAGACGAATGCCTCGCAGGACGGAAAACCTGCTAGACGAAAGGGTTTTCCGTTTTTGAGTTGCTTAGCAGGACGAATTTCCCTATGGGCTTGCTTCGCAAGACGAAAATGTCTTCCAAGTCTTGAGATTTTTTTCCGCTCCCCCCCCCCTTTTTCTAAGCCGCTAATAGCCTTTTAGCAGCTAAGCCAATAAGCCTTTAATAGCCGCTAAACCGTGTAATAGCTAAGCCGCTAATAGGGTTGCTTCACAAGACGAAAAAACCGCTAGATGAAGACACTCGCGGAACGGATTAATTTCGTCTTGTGAGGCACCACTGTATTGGTTGTTTTCACCCAACACCATCTACTCAGATGCAACAAATTTCAGCCAAGTTTCAGTATTCGCCGCCGCCTTTGATTTGAGGCCTGGGTGCAATTTCCTTGCAGCTTCAGGACTAGATTAATTTTGGTGCATAATAACAGAGACATTGCTGGGCTGGGCAAGGGTGGCAACTTGAATAAAATATTGTGGGGGCCCAGGTAAGCCCCTGCCCACATAATCGATCACATGGCGTCCGGGTTGGCGAAGACTGAGCTGTAGCCTAAGAAAGGGGGATAAGCTTGCTACACCCCACTTCTCAACCCGAAACCGAAGCCTCCAGCTCCTGTTACCCCCACCTCCACCCCACGCCTACCATTTTTTCCCTGGGTTGCCCGAGTCCTGAGGGTCTCCCCCCCCTTTGTGTGTCGTAGGGGAGATGGCGATCCCGTACTACACGGGGCACGTGACCGACTGGATCACCGGTGAGGCCGACTCCTCTGCCTTTGAGAGAGCTCTCTGGATGATGTCCGCCCTCACCGTTGGCAGGTACGGAACAGGTGGAGAGGTTTTAGGAAGGTTTTTTGGGGGGAGAAAGTGGGGTGTTGGAAGGCAGAGGTCCAGCCTCCCTTTCTGACCTCTCCTTTTCTCTCTCAGCGCTCTGGCTGAGTTCCTGTGCGACTATCTCTACAACACCACCATGAACCACTTCCACACTCGCTTCCAGAGCAACGTCTTCAGAGCCGTCCTGCGACAGGAAGTCGGCTTTTTCCACGCGAACAAGACAGGTAAAACCAGACTCTGCACCGAATGGGACTTGTCTTTAAGTTTAACCACTATTTTATTTTCTGGATGATTATTGCATCATTTTTTTTTCAGATCGCTGCCTCGTGCTAATTTGTATCGTTCCCCCAAAAACAATTTTAAAGCTCTTCTGGATTTTTAAATCACCGTATTTTTCGCTCCATAAGACGCACTTTTTTCTTCCTAAAAAGTAAGGGGAAATGTCTGTGCGTCTTATGGAGTGAATGCGTGGTCCCTGGAGCCGAATTGCCCAGGGGCGAAAAGCAGATCATGTTTTGTGTTTTTTTTTAAAGAGGGAAGTAGGTGTTGAAACAAAGCAAAAACGTGGTTACAAAGCACGGATCCACATGGATTCTCAGGATTTTTGCATTTGTTGTTTAGTCGTTTAGTCACGTCCGACTCTTCGTGACCCCATGGACCAGAGCACGCCAGCCACTCCTGTCCTCCACTGCCTCCTGCAATTTGGTCAAACACATGCTGGTAGCTTCAAGAATTTTTGCATCGAGTCACCCCAAATTCACTGTCAAATCACATAGCATGTCTGTGGCTACAGCCTGCACCAAAAAAATCACGCACCCATTGTTTTGTGGGGCCCCAATAGTCCAAAAACGTGGTTACAAGGCACGGATCCACATGGATCCTCAGGATTTTTGCATTGGGGCACCCCAAATTCACCGTCAAATCACATATCATGTCTGTGGCCACAGCATGAACCACAAAAATCATACATCCACTGTTTCGTTCAGAATATTGTTTTTCTTGTTTTCCTCCTCTGAAAACTAGGTGCGTCTTATGGAGCGAAAAATACAGTGTTTGTTTATTGCTTTTATATGCCGCCTTTTCCTCCAAGGAGCTCGAAGGTGGCACACGTGGTTCTTCCCCATTTAATCCCCCCACAACTGCCCTGCGATGTAGGCCGGGCTGAGAGGCAGCGACAGACCCAAGGCTTCAGGGCCCAGCGGGGACTTGAACCCTGGTTCCTTTTATTTACCCTGTGTCCCAGTGGCGTAGCGTGGGGGGTGCAGGGGGGGCCGGGCGCACCAGGCGCAACATCTGGGGGTTAGGGTTAGGGGGCGCAAATCCACGGGTTAGGGGGCGCAAATCCATGGGTTAGGGGGCGCAAATCCACGGGTTAGGGGGCGCAAATTACTTGCCTTGCCCCGGGTGCTGACAACCCATGCTATGCCACTGCTGTGTCCACATCATCGGCTTAAAATGCAGTTAGGTCCTTTTTCTCAATTTGGATTGAAGCTGGGGGGTTTTAGCGGTGGGGGAAACCCATCAAAACGTAGCATTTCCAAAGAAACAACAAGGTACTTATTTGGTGGCTCAAATCACGTGTAGTCTGCTTCCTGAACCAGCAGCGCTCGCCTCTACATAGTTCCATCCATATTTCAGACATCGTGATATATTGGTATATTGCGATGTTTAGCTGCTGATAATATCGCCCAACCCCTAGAGCACAGTGTAAGTAGAGTTAAATGGGTGATTGCAAATCGCCTTCAGGCTTATGTGAAAGGTGATTTGTAAATTGTAACAAATAAATATTTTTTTAAAAAAACAAAAAACAAAAACCACTTCCTCTGAAATGTGCACTCTCTGCCCCCAAATCCTGATGATTTGGGCTCAAGGATCTAACCCCCCACTGGGGGGAATTTGATTTTTAAGGGGGGCAATTTGAGAATGTTTAGACCAAGTTAAAGGCCTTTTAGGCTTCCCCCACGTGAACAGGAGTTTACTTTTTTAAAAATAAGAATTATATGTCAGTGGGGGGGAGGGGGGTGGCATCAGGATTTTAGAGATGCTTAAGTGGGGCACAGCCAAAAAAAGGTTGGGAACCACTGATCTAACCCAACATAATTCAACACAGATCCTCATTTATTTCCGTGCTCATCCAAACAACACACATTTTCCTCAAAATCTGAAAAGCAGGAGTGGATTTCAGCTGCTCTGGTTGGTTGGGAAAGTTTTCCCATTCCTGGAAATGCAGAGTTGTTCTGCCTGGCCTTTGGCTTGGAATCTACTTGATCCCCTTCCCCTCCATCCTTTTTCCTTTCTCTTTCTGTGATGGAACTCCTATCTGGGGACTTCCCTGGCTTTTTTTCTCGCCTAGTCTGGATAGTTGGCCTTGGTGAAGATTTGACGTTTTCATTCCCAAAAAGTTTTTGATTTGAGTTTCTACTGAAATGAGGCTGCGTTTTGAGTTTAATGTTGTATTTTAATCTTGTTTTTTAGTTTGATTTTAATCAATGGTTTTGCGCCTGGTGTTAGCCACACTGAGCCCGGTCTTGGCTGGGGAGGGCGGGGTATAAATAAAATTATGTATTATTATTATTATTAACAGGGATAGAAGACATTTTATTTGGAATAATCCCCCACCCAGTTTTCCTTGCAAATATTATACAGCTGTTGGGTCATCTTCGCTTTCCTTGAACCTTGCCCAGATATTTCCTCTTCTGCCCCACCATCCTTGACCTCCTTCCTTACAGGGGACATCACTTCCCGGGTGACGACTGACACGGACACCATGAGCGAGGCCCTCAGCAGCGACCTCAGCCTGCTGATGTGGTACCTGATGCGAGGGGTCTTCCTCTACGCCATGATGCTGTGGCTGTCGGTCCCCTTGACCCTCTTCGTCACGGTGGCCCTGCCCTTCATCCTGCTGGTGCCAAAGCTCTCTGGGAAATTTCACAAGGTACCCAAATAACCAGGAGTGCCACGCAGGGTCCTGCTGGGCGTCATTCGAACTCGGTACCCCATCTCTTTCTCTCGACAAGGCTGTTGTCCCCCCCCATAACCGGTATTCAGTGGTAATGGGTAGATCCACGTTGTATAGAAAACTCCCCCTCAAATAATCCTGGGAACTGTAGTTTGTTGAGGGTGCTGGGAATTGTAGCTCTCTGAGGTGAAAGCTGTGCTTTTTTGGTTTTATATCTTGATTTTATTCTGAGACCCCAGGGTATAGGGCGGCATATAAAGTCAAATAATAATAATAATCATTAATAAACTTCTCAGGATTCTTTGTGCTTCCGATGTGGCTCTTTCTTTAGACTGCCCCTAAAAAGGAGAGAGAGAGAGACTCTGCCAACTATGATCAACTGAAGTAAATGTGACCGCCACTTAAGGGGCAGTTTCTGTGCTCTAATTTCCCTGCTCCTTCCCCCTATCGAAGCTCGCCAATTTTTAGGATAAATGGCCGTCTTTTCAAAGGGACACAAGGAATATTTGGTGTTGCGTTGGAGGGGATTCCAGGAAAACGGGAATTATGTCCCACATGTGGTGGAATATAGCTACCCCCAAGTGTGTTTTATAAGCTGGTCTCCGACCGTAATAAAGTATC